CATTGTAAAAGGGAAAGGAAGGGATTGGCTCTTAAAACAAAGCGCTTAGTTATAGTTCAAGAGCCAAGGCTCTAACTAATTTGTGTAAATGAGTGTCATAATAAAGAGTTAAATTATTGATGTTAAGGCCAAAAGGAATGAAAAGGAACACCTTTTACTAAAAACAAAAAAAAAATTAAATGAGATATTAAATCTATTATAAATAAGACAATCTTAATTCCCCTCCCCTCTTAGACAAAGTATATCGCCTGGGGACGCACGTGAACATGTCTTTGATATGTGACACAATGTAAATCCAGTGTATTTAGTTTTGCATATCCCCCGAGGTTTTCAACATAAATCTTGATACAAAAGTTATTATTCAAGTTCTATGAATATACTTATTTAACGTCGTAAAAAGCAAAATCTTTATCCCGAGCGATGGAAGTATCAAAGAAAGTTCTGCTTCGCTGAAAGGAAATAAAATGGAAGTTTTGTTCGGGACATAAAATGAAGCATTTTAGCATAATGTATTCGTCTTGGCGAGAGCCGAGTACCGAGAGCGGTTACCGCTATATTCATAAATAATTGAGGAATAGTGTGATCGTTTCTCATACTAATGTCGCAGGTGGGTTATCACAAATATTCGTGAGACAATTCTCGTAACGTCATCGACAAAAGTATGAAATTCGTTGATGTACTTTACACCCGAATCTGTACTGTACAAAATTCTCACGAATATTCATGATAAGGTCTCTGATCTTCGTTTTTTATTCAAAACTCTAATCCATTTAAGGCCAATCGTATTAAGATAAGACTCTTGAGTTCATAGTAATATAACTGCTGTGCTACGACGGTATTTTCTAATCAAAGCATAATCCTTTGTCCCAGGTCAAGATAGGATTAGACGCGTCCGGGAATCCTAACAAAGCTTTTGTATGCAACTGTACGTCTATGTACAACTACGTATAGTAATGCTATTCTTGTCAGACTATATTATATAGGGACAAGATACAGTTTTTTAATTTTACTAAATAAAGTTAATTCTACCTACAATAAAAGTTAGGTAATGATAACTGAGATGACGTATGATAGAGTTTTGTGGAGGAAAAAAAAATCTCTTGCGCCAACCCTACGGGAGTAGGATAAGGAAGGGGGGAAGATAAATAGAAATTGAAAAAACCAGTGAAAACCATAGCCTATGTTATTTGTCCGTATTTTTATTAAATCGAAACTGTATAAATGTTGATTTTTAATTTAGTTTGCTTATTTTCTTTTATTTGCCAAATTTCTATGAGAAAGTTTTATAAAGTTCTAAGTTAGGTCAAGTTTAAGTAGAGACGTATTAAAGTGTTTATTGAGAGCAAAGTAAAGCTGTTTACTGTACCAGAGGCTGCGGTTTAATCTTGTTAAGTAAGATTTTAGTGCAAAACCTCTTAAGAGTAAATTTGAATTAGTTACTTTAAAACTTACTTATTACTAAATAACTGAATACTTATAAACGGTATATTTTTGTATTGAGTTATAGTTAGAAATCAAATAAAAATATGATTTTGAGTAAATCTACGTATTAGTACTTTAGTAGGAACATTTTTATGTATTTTTATACATCAATTATAATTTAATCTTTCAGAAGTTTGATCGCTTCTCGGAAGTTTCGTATGAATTTCCTAATCGAAGTAAAACTCACCTTAAACTTCGCATCTTCAAAGGTAATTTATTGCCGCGTCAAATGTAAACTCAATTTCGTTAAATCATAAAAAGTTTGAAATATAATCACTCTTTGTACGCAGAGAACTTTAGTATGTAGTAATCAAAAAAGAATCTCGATAACTCAAACTTCAGTAACTTAAAAACTTCTATAACTTTAAAAAATAATATGTTCCTTTCCTATCAGAGCCCAAAACCTCTTTCACATAGACTCTTGATAACTTAAAACCTCTGTTACTTAAAATATTTTGTGTTTCCCTTGGACTTTAACTTATATTTTTACTTATTTTACTTATTTTATTATTTTACTGTATTGGTAAACATTATCAACAAGCACGTTTATTTTCCATGCATTTTAAAAGCATTGTTTATTTGAACATGTTTGCCTTAAAATGTTTAAAAAGTCAGAGTATTCCTAACTTTTATTTAAAATGCAATAGCACTACAGAGTAGACAAAATCGTATGCACTCTTCTGATAGCACTAAGTAAATTTAATGAACAATTCATGAAGTTATCCTTTTAATTTGGCATACCATTTGAAGGTTCTCAACAGTGAAAGTAGACCTTAAGTCGAGATTTTACATAATTGTAGAATTTCCATTACATTAAGAGTCTGGACCTATTTTAAATCGTTGCCTCGAGAGCTCTTTGGTACAATTATTGGAGGCTTAGCGAAGGATTGCGGCCCTTTCTAGACCTCTCGTATTTTCGCATATAACGACATGAAAATATAGGTATCATTGTAACTGAAACTAGCTGTTCGCGTGCGGCTTCATCCGCATGAAATTATAATTTATTGTTTGCATTTGTCAAATTCTCAATTGCAAATGTGAAAATACCAATAACCTTACTATGACAACCTTGCTTCTTGATGTTGGCAGCAACTTATGGTCTCTTTTCCACATTAGGGTTTTAAAAAAAATATATTCAAAAATATGCTGTAATTGCTGACATCTTAGGCAAGAAAGAAGTATGTGTTTACGCTTTATTATAATAGTATAGATTGCTGATTTCTTAATTTAAATACGAATTATAAGGAGATTTATAAAACTAGCAGTTACACTGTTTAGTTAAACATTTGATTTAAAGTTCTTACGTAAACAACGTAACGTACCATAAATATTATCACCATATTGCTTACGGTATACTATGATTTGTTAATAGTCCGCGCTGCGACGGTTGCTAAAGTCTTAGTATAAAAGGGTTGACAGATTCCATATGTTTACGTTAAAATGTACTTTAAATGCTTCCACGAGATAGGTTCACTCTAACTTAATATTATGGTTAGTATAATTTTATAAAAAAAAGAATAATAAATTGTGAAAGTATTCCGTTAAAAATGTTATTTTCTTGCCATTCGTTATGATAATAAAAGTATACAGTAAGTTTCCACTGCGACTCAATTAAAGCAGCAGACTGAGTTCATCGGCTGACTTCTGCGGAATCGACTCTTATTATTTCTATAATAACTTGCTCCTCGCGATAGACAGTTTTATTTCATACGAGGGAAATCGATTAAATTCTCCAACGACGTATAAGATGGAAATCTAACTATGGTTTTTAACTTATTCTCTATTTTTAAAAGTGCATTGCAATTTATTTTTCAAATAAACAAACATTAACAATTATAAAAAAAAATCATAAATCTCATGAAAACATTTTTTTTATCTAGAGTAATTAAGAATAGTTTAAAATATTTTAAGTGTCCAAGTTAAAAATTATTCATTTTTACGATTTGACTTCGTTAATGCGTTTAGTTCACAATTCTCTCTTTCTCTCTAGTAATATTGCAAATTAACAAAATTTACAATCTATCTGTCTTATAACAGGAAGTAAACATCGTATCAAATAAAAAAGATTATAATTTATCTCCTACGTTAATGTGTTTTCTTTATTTTTGTTCTATTTATTGTATTCGTCTTTCCTTTGTCGTATAAAGGACATTTTCACACGGGGGAATGGCTTTCATCTGTCCGACGTCCGTCGTACGCTCAACAAAACAAACGGAAAATCTATTGTTAGCTAAAAAAAACAGTATTAATATATGGCATTCTTTTTTCTAATTATCATATGTACATAATTTAACCGACGTTATTACGGTGAAGGAAAACATCATGACGCCTGCACATATCGGCGAAGAAATTCAAAGATATGTGTGTAGTCAATCAACCCGCAGTTGGCCAGTGTGGTTGACTATGTTCTAGTCACCCCTAACTTAGAGTAGGCTCCGAGACCCTCAGTGTGGACGTATCGAGCTAGTGATGATGAATATATGCTAATTGTAATTTAGAGGTAGCGATTTCAACTCTAGCTGATCGTAGAACACTCCTAGTATTTCAAGAACTGGTCAACAACAGAAGAGATAATAACGGAACTATTATATTTTGGATAAAAGAAAAAATCTTGTACTGTGTATATTTGCATTTTGTCGAGGAGTCAAAAGCAACTTTACTTTATATGTCCTAGTAGAGGTTGCCAGCGACTCTGTCCCCGAGAAATACAAAGAAAACAGTCTAGAAGAACACATAGACTCTATCCTTCTAGAAAATGTTCTACATCTCTGGCTAAGAAAAATTTAAATTCTATGGTGTAACATTAGTATGCATTATTACGAAGTATTATACCACTTTGTCTAAATAAAAACTATGTTCGAATCATTAGAATTATTTACAGCCAATAGTATCAACTTGGATCGTTATCTCAAATAATATTAAATAAATAAAACCTTCTCTAATTGTCATCCTTGTCAGAAACCGTAATGGATGTCTGCCGCTAAGGACTACTAATTGTACATCCTTTGAATGTCCTCGCAAACTTGAAGCTGGAGATAACGAGACATATTTACAAGCCAGTATAGTCTTTCCAGTTTTTGTAATGTAACATTCCTCCCTTATTGTTTTCATGAACATTATTTGTTTAACAAAAAGTCCCGTTCACTAAGATTTTTAATACTTACCTAGCAGTATATTTCCGTAGTAAAAGAAATAAATACTATATACATTTTAGGATTCGATCCCACATCTGATAGAGCCATACTCACTGTGCAAAGAATTTATCGCGTAAATGCAATTCGTGAATTAAATAAAATACTAAAATGTAGTATTAAATAGCCATCTATAAAAACAAAAGCATATTAATATAGAAATAGAGACAAATACTATAAAAATATAAAGTTTCGTCAATTCTTTATCTAATTTACATTTTTAACAGTAATTCCAAAATATCAATTTGATTTTACACCTCTAATAATTTTCATAAATCTTGATTTAAAAAATTTACATACAAAATCTAGAAAGACAAAAAAACTTACCTCGTGAACAACAGTAATCCGTATTTAGTCACTACACTGCACAGTGCAACACGCACACTTCAGGTGATATTCAGCTGAAAGTCGCTGAAACGCGGCCCTCCGCCGCCGCACCGACCCGGACTGAGCGAGCTCACCACGGAGTCACATAGATTATGAACTATTCCGAGGTGAAATACAGACGCGACACCTCGAACATTGAAATTAGTTATAGAGACATGTTTACTATATTCACTTAAATTACTAAACTTGTGACCGAATAGAAATGCAATAATTTAAAACATTATTATGTAAAACTTTTTTTTGTAAACTAATTAAAACTGTTTTTTGTAAATGAACATAAATGTTTTATACTAATATCAAATTAACTAATACAAATAATAAAGAATTCGTCAACAAAACAGAAAAATAAACGAATTTATAACATTTTTTACACAAAACTACCTTATACCTAATTCTATTTACAAACGAATCGATTCGTATAATGTACTAACAATTGAAACATTACAGTCACTTATCCACTAATTTGTCTACGCATAAAAAAACTATTAATCAATCGTAAAACGAAATGAACGCACTGTGATTTACACGGGGGAACATTTTTACGTGCGTCGTAAGATCGTAACATTTTTTAGCTTTACTAAAAAAACCTGAACAATAGTAAAAACCGAATTAACTTACCGTCACTAAAGTCATTGTTAGTGAAATTGCGTAGTAATTAAGGCAGTTTAATTAACAATAGCATTGTTACTTTACTTCCGTTCTTTGGTTAATAATGAAGTCTTGTTATGTAAATAAATATTTTTGGTTATCTCCAATCTTTACGCGGGAAGCGTGGGAATCGAGAAAGTAATTGTTATGTAAGATATGTTTAGTGTTGCCGCTTATTTGTGAACTATTTTATTTACTTTTAAATTGTACTACAGTAAACTATCTTAATATTTCTAAATACTTTTCATTTATTAATATTGATTTTGGAGTTATTAAGAGTTGTCAGAAAATTAAAAATATTACTATCACTTTTCAGCAGTAATTAAAACTGTTGAAAAGCACCTTCTCGGAGACATAATTTTCTTAGGTATAAAATGACTAACACTGTCTGCTCTACATTACTATTCCTTCTTAGCTCTCTTTCTGTCGCATAACATATTAACATCTATCTCTTTTACTCACGCATTCGAAGGTTCAACGTAAGCTCGCGGGAAAATTTAACTCAGTCACAACTTGCCCTAACAGTGAGACTAGCCCTTAAAGGACATTTAATGACCAATTAACAACAGATTTCATACAGCAGACACCAAACGGCACTGAGCTAATGTGGTCGAATAAGGCCTATTAACTTTTAACAGTGGTAGAGCCTGCTTAACATCTTCGGACAAATGGGCCGGCTCGCCCGGTGTAATAGCACGACCACACAGAAGACAGGCGTGAAGTGGAAGCAATTCCGCGTTTCGTCTGATGAGTGTGGTAGCGGAGGCCTAATT